ATGCACCCCAGGATGCCATTGGCCTTCTTGGCAGCCAGGGCACACTGCTGGCTCATGGTCAACCTGTCATCCACCAGGACACCCAGGTCCCTCTCCACAGAGCTGCTCTCCAGCAGGTCCAACCCAGCTTCCACCCACTGCAGTTAGCCTGGTGGCATCAGGATGGTCCATCCTTTCAGTATCTAGCGGGGGCTTGTAAGAAGGATGGGGATGGACTATTTATCTCTAGTTGTAGGACAAGAGATAATGGTTTTAAACTAAAAGAGGGGAAATTCAGACTGGATTGAAGGAAGAAATTTTTATGATGGGGATGGCGAAACACCGGCACAGGTTGCCCAGATGCCCCATCCCTGGAACCGTTCAAGGTCAGGTTGGACGGGGCTCTGACCAACCTGATCCCATGGAAGATGTCCCTGCTCATGGCATGGGGGTTGGACTAGATGACCTTCCCAGATCCCCTTCCAACCCAAACCATTTGATGATCCCAAAACCGAGCCCATCTTCTCCCTCCCCAGCCGTGAAGGAGACCTGCGCCTGGTTCAGCACCAACTATGCCAACGCTAGGAAGTGACAGGCCAACACCGGGACCGGCGTCATCCTCTTCATCTCAGGGTTGTTCTTTGCTGGGGCAGAGGACGGGGCTGGGGGTTGACAGCGACATTTCCAAAGTAAAAGGGGGCCAGAGCCCAGCGAGCAGCTCCCACATTCCTGCCCGTTGCTGGGAGCGGCACGGGATGCCCACGGCAGGGAGGAAGGTTGGGGCACCCCAAAGGTGCTGGCACCCCAGACCAGGTGGTAGCCACCAACTGGAGCTGGTGGCTCCTGCTGAGCTCTAATGGGCTACACTGCTAATTACCTGTAATTAGGCTGTAATAAAGGGAAGGTGATCAGGGTTATTTCTCTGGTGCGAGAATGGCGGCTGAGTGTCACCTGGGGATGGTCCCAAAGCATCAGGACTGGGGGGGGGACCAGAAGGGGGAAGGCTCCAGCTGTAAATCTGGTGTTTATTAAAATATGTGGAAATTGTATAAAACTGGTGATAATGAGGAGCACAGTCCTGTACCCATGCTGGACCCATAGGGTCCCGAGTACCACCATGTGCTCTCCTCCACCAGGATCTAGAAGAACCAAAAAAAAGAGTTAAAAACCCCTCAGAAGAGGGTAAGGGGTCAGATATGGAGGGACGAGTCCATGGCCAAGCCACCACATGAGGCTCGACCGGTGGCATGGACATGGCAGAAGTCCTGCCCGGAGACGGCTTTCTTCCGGCACCGCTTCCCAACCCTGGTGAGCCCCTGGCACGGGGACCGTGGGGACAGCAAGGACGGGCAGATATGGAGGGACGAGTCCAGGGCCAAGCCACCACATGAGGCTCGACCGGTGGCATGGACATGGCAGAAGTCCTGCCCGGAGACGGCTTTCTTCCGGCACCGCTTCCCAACCCTGGTGAGCCCCTGGCACGGGGACCGTGGGGACAGCAAGGACCTACAGAGGAGAGACCCATCAGCAGCCCAAGAAGCCCCCAGTAGGGCTGTCCCCCCCACTGTCGGGTCACTGGTTGCATGCCGAGGTGACACCAGCCCCAACATGTCCCTGGAGAAGGAATGTCCCCTACGGTCGGACTCACACGTCACTGGCTGGAGACTGGCTTGGGCCGTAGGGTTTGATCTCCAAACGCTTCCCACCACCCAGGGCTGGCTCCAGCATCACCTGGTTGGGGAAGGAGAGGTTTGACAGGGCACCCTCTGTCCCTGGTGACCCTCCTGTCCTGCAGGAGATGTTTCTTGTCCCCTGGGGACATGTGGGTGCTACAGGATGAGTGCCTTGGCCATCCATTCTTGGAGGACACCCCCCCTCCACCCAAAAGTCCTCCTCGGGCATCATGGCAAGCGCTGTGGAACCAGCCCCAGCCCCTCTCCCAACAAGGTGTCCAGCACCCAGAGGTGCAGCCACGATGAGGAGATGATGATACCCCAACCCTAGAGGACCTGACTCTTGGGGGACGCAGCTGACCAAAAGCAGGGTCTGGCCTAACCTGGGGACATTCCACCCAGATCCTATCCCCAACCTAGGGACATTCCACCCAGATCCTCCCACCCAAGCTCAGGCTTACCCCACATGAGCTCAGCTTTGTCCTCCAACTGTTGGGGATGGGTGACTCTCGCCCTGCTAACCCGTGGAGGTCCCCTGCCATCGCTGGGGGCTGCTCCAGACTTGAGAGCTCTGCAGGAACACGGCATGGGTGGTGACATGCTCCCAGCGCTGCTGTCCCCAGGTGTTGGATGGGGACACCTTGGGGTGGTGCGCATACCCCAACATACCTTGGGGACATTCTGGGGTAACACCCATGTCCCAGCACAGGATGGGGACACGCTGGGGCTTCAGACCTCTGTCCTACAGCCACCACACCTCCCATCCCATGGTCATCCCTCCCACGTCCCCCTGCCCAGCCAGCTCTCACCTTGCAGGCAGCTCATCTCCATCCTGCCCAGCTCCTCCTGCAACAGCTCCACATCGTGCTCTCTACGTGGGAGGAAGGAAACCCAGAGCTCCATCGCTTTGGTGGCTCCTTCTTGACTCCCATCATGGTGGCAGCCCCCTCTCCAGCCTCCCCACACCCTCCTCCGGGCAGAAATAGGGCAGGCAGCTGGGATGAGGTACCCAAAAGCTGCAGGCAAGCCATCAAGATGTGTCCTGCACCCTCCCGGGGACTGGCAACCCACCCTGGGGACCTCTGCCAGGTGGCAACGGGAGATGACATCCAGGATGGGCGCCCAGGTTGGGTCTTAGGAGCTCCCAAGGGCACTGTGCCCATCCCCCGCCCCACAACCATCTCCTACCTGTCCGGGGTGGAGGTGAGCTGGTGGCGGGGAAACGCTGACCTGGCTTCCTGAGCACCGCGGCGGGCCCACTCCACCCGCCCCCGGCCTGTGGGGGGGCCCAAG